TAACTTTGTAGCAGTATGTCCCTCGCTCGGTTACAAAAGAAATTTTTTCTTCATCTGCCGGGTCCATAGGGATCTGATTATAACCTGAATAAGCGTCCAGAAAGGTTAAACGCTCATACCCGGTGGTGGCATCCACCATTTAATCAATCTTTGGCAGCGGGAAGCTATCCTTCGGACAGGCTTTGTTCAAATTGGTGAAATCAATGCAAAGTCGCCATTTCCCATTCTTCTTCTGCACGACAACGACGTTGGACAACCAATCAGGGTAGTGTACTTCTCTGATAAATCCCGCATCAAGCAACCTATCAACTTCCTCGGCTATGATTTGGTTGCGTTCTGGAGCAAATCTTCGTTGCTTCTGTTTTACTGGTTTGAAATTGGGATTGACATTCAAGGAATGACAGGATACGGAGGGATTAATTCCAGGCATGTCTAGGTGACTCCATGCAAATACATCGGCATTGCGAGACAAGAAGTCAACTAGCTCTTGCTGCTCTTCCCTGGTCAGTCTTATTCCTACTCTGGTAGTTCGCTCTGGCCTGGACTGATCGATCTGCACATCCAGAAGGGGCTCTTCGGTCAAGTCGACTGACTCCCCCACCCTGTTCTGCTTGGGCGGAGGTTCCTGTAATTGCTATCTGGGGCTTGCCGATCGGACGGGCGCCTTCCCTTTCCCAGCATACTTTAGTGTGACGGAATAACACTCTTTGGCTGCAACCTGATCCCCACGAATGTCTATCACCTTCTTTCCATCGGGTCCGAGGCACCTCATGACCTGATGCAAAGTTGAGGGTACACCTTGGACTCTGTGAATCAATCCTCTTCCCATCAGGAGATTGTACGAGGAGTGAATCTCTACAACCACAAAAGTTTCCATAAGAGCTCGTTCTGCAGCTTGAACTTCTACTTCCACCATTCCGACGGGCTCCACCCTCTTGCCATCGAATCCTAACAAGGGATTTCCAGTGGGCTTGAGCCTCTCTGGTTTAATCTCGAGCCGATCAAATGTGTCCCTCGGCATGACATTCGCACTGCTCCCGGGATCGATCAGAACTCTGCGCACCAGGCAGTCCGCCACTGTCAAACTGACTACCAACGGGTCTTCATGGGGGATTTGAACACGCTGCAGGTCTGTCCTGTCGAACTTTATCTGTATCGATGTGATCTGCTGGTGTAGAGTATTCACACTACTGACCCTTTTCTTCATCTACGCCTGCCGTAGGCGCGCTCGGAGTAGCTCATCTGAATCTTCGCTGGGCTCAGGTCGACCGTGGATAGCATTGATTATACGAACTGGTTGTGAACTGTGGGAGCTTTGTTTATGACTCCTTTTTACTTGTTCCATCGGTCGATTCTGCTCTGTCGCCGAGCCTTGAACATAACTCGCGAACTCCCCTCTAGCTATCAACATCTCCACTTGCCTTCTCAAATTCCTGCATTCATTAGTCTGATGACCGAAATCGGAATGGAAAGCACAATGTTTAGTCTGATCCCTCTGTTCGAGGGGTTGCCTAATTGGCAGTGGTGGATGAAACTTATCTTTGTTCTCCTGATATAGCCTCGCCAGAGTGACCTTCAGCGGAGTGATCAGCTCTTCCTCCCTGGACCTCTTTTCTGCCTTCCAGGAGGTCTGATGCTGCGGCTGAGCCTGCTTCTACCTGATCTTTGCCTTGGACTTTTCCTCGGTCGACACGAGCGAAGCTGTCCGAGCATTGGCTGCCTCCTCTTCTTCTAGGCGCACAAAGCCGTCGGCTCTTTCATTGAGTTCATCCATAGTCGTCGGCGTATTCACTACCAGACTGGTATGGAACGGAGTGCCACGTGTCATAGCTAACTTGAAGGCTTGAACCGCTGTAGAAGGGTGGCATTCGATCACCATACTCTTAGTGAGATTAAACCTGGTGAGAAAAGCCTGTAGACGTTCATCTTTGTGCTGTCTCATTGTGAATAGGCTTGAGATGTCCTTTGGCGGACGCTTGTTCCTATAGTACTGGCTTATGAACCGATCGCACAGGTCTCGGAAGCTACCAATGGAGCTCCTAGGCAAGTTCTTGAACCAACTGAGCGCCGGTCCAGCTAGGCTTGTAGGGAAACATTTGCACATTAAAGCGTCGTTTTCCGTATTCAGGGCCATCTTCAACTGGATATGGTACACATGATCGATCGGATCGGTTGTTCCGTCAAAAAGAATAAAGACTGGCATAACAAACTTCCTTGGATGCGGGGCATTCAGGATCTCGTCAGTGAATGGTGAATCAACCGTCCGAGCCGCGGATCGGAGTGCTTCATTCTCTCTTTGGCGCCCAGTGGTAGCCCTGTGAGCTACGGTTTTGCTCTCCGAACCGCGATGAGTGATTGTAGCCATGGAGGGCCGGTAGGACGGATCAAACGACCGTTCCTCTATGAGCTCTCTTTGCCAAGGCGACGCAACTTGGCGGCGATCAACCTCTATCACCTCCTCTCGGTTGAACCTTTCCCGATGCGGATCGAAGGTCATGGCTTCGTTCTGTCTGATCTGCTCATGTCGCGGATCAACGTGAGTCGATCCTTCGTGATCCTCAACTCGACGAGCATTTGGCGGCAAATCATCCATCCTCCTTTTATCACGGTGGAGAGCTGACTGATTGTTCTCGTCCTGCTCGCCTTGATGCGCGATATTAGATTGAACACCTCCTTCACCGGCCGGAAGTGGACGGGAAACCGCGGGTATTTGCTGATGTTGCATTCCAGCTTTCAATTCTGCATTCTCTTTTTTGAGAGCCTCGATCAAGTTCATCAACTCCTCAAGCTTCGTTTGCTGGACAGCTTCCATCGGATTGGAGCTTTCACCTATCATTATTCCTGAACGGAGTAAAGGCATTAATCTCAAGTTCGTGAGTAGATCCGAGCTTCGTGAGTGGGAATTTTTCAGATCTGGTTTCGAATTCTCCGAATTATGCTCACGGTTGACGAGATCTGAATTGTCCGAATTTTAAATCCGTCAGATCCTGCCACAATCGAACAACTCGTTGTTTCGTAGATCTGAAGCCACTTCTGCCAAAGCAACAGGAACTAAAATTCCTCCAGAGTAGGTCACAATCGCTCAGATCTGGATCCAACTCCCAAAGATCGAGTTTCGTTCCCTCGGATTGGTCTGAATCCACGCGATATTAATCAATGATCAATCAATCTTCCACGATTCCCACAGCCGGCGCCAATTGAAGATGCAGGAAATTCCTCCTCTCTTTCTCTCTCTAGAACTCTTGTATTTCAACCCCAAAAAATATCTCCCCCCCACTCTATTCATTACTTCTCCTATTTATAGATATTTACAAATGTCGATGGACTGCTGGATCTAGGCCCGTTCCTCTATGAGTTCTGGTCATCTTTGATGGGCTAATTCGCGTTCGGCCCATATGGCAGTGTCTTTCTATGGGCCTGACCCATCTGTACGGACCAGATGTCGCGTTTACAAGTCATATCCGGCCCATGCCACTTCGAGCCTCCTCAGGAGGGCAGTAAAGTTGCTTGAAGCACAACTTAATAAAAATTCAGTAATAATTATTAAAGAAAAATCAATGTGTAAATTCCATGATGGAATATGCATAATCTAACATGAGAAATTATACTTAAAATAATCCAACTGATGTTCATGAAAATACAATAAAGAGTTTTAAGGATTACAGACAAATGAAATTAGAGAAGGTAATGGATTTAAGGAGAGTTCCAAATGCACATCTATTATTCAATAATTTCTGGTTATCAGAGTCATTATATAGAACTTTCAATGTCACCTCTGTGGAGGAGACATCAGCTATCTTGTGTGTCAAGGCTTGTAAAGGATCCCCAGCATCAACTTACTTATTTACAGAAGTAGCATCCAACTGAGATGTCATAGTGGCAGAAACCCTTCAATCCTGAATCCCGGATGAATGCACTGATCATGAGAGGAAATAACACAAGCCTTGACTTTAGACGGATCCCAAATCACCCAGATGCAACCAAGGGTTGATTGATTGTAATTTGTGGTTATTTCCCAGTTCTCAGCAATACCCTTCAAGACTCTATCCATGTTGATTCTTCTAATGCAAGTATCCACTAAGCAAAACAAGGATTTTTCATAGGAAGTAGTCATCTTTTGCCCAATTTAGTGAATCTACTCGATAAACCCTTGATCTTCCTAAAGGTACTAAATGGTTGGGTGTATATTCACCAAGTATTCCTAAACTTTAACTACAAAAAGAGTACCACCTGGAAACTCCTACTCTTCAGTGTCACATTAATAACCTATATAAACATGCATCAATTTTTTTTAAGTTCATGTGAATTTCGGATTAGGCAGCCAGGAAGCACCAATGATCAATAAGTTAAAACTACAAGTTCCCTCATTATATTTCACTTGAAGTATGCACTCATCCAGCATGAAATCTTCATGGAGCAAATAAAACTTTTAACCACCCCACTATCAGAGATAAAGCTAAGCAATAGGGACTCACATCTAATAGAAAATAGCATAATATAATTTATCTTTATAATACAAAATGTGAGACCTATTGCTCACTATAATGATAAAGCTATCCTGTCTAGTGTTAGGATGTAAATCTGAGTCTAAACTGCCACTTTTATACAAATAATGCTAAAAGCTCAAGTTTACATCAGTCTATCCTTCCTGACAGACCAACACTGGGTAATACTGAAGTTTTTATTCAATTATTCAATGTTTTTGGAGTAATCCTATCACAAACTGTATGTAGGACCATCTCCAAGAAACGTAATCCTTGCCCAAGATTAACCGAACATATATGATATCCATCTAGCTTAAACCAAAATCTTTCATGTCGTAGATTTATTCCAAAATAACTAAATAAATACATACAAACAGTCATTCAAACCCAAACACTAGATTTATTACAAAATAACTAAATAAATACATACAAATAGTGATTCAAATCGAAGCACCAAATTGGTTCATTTAAACTGCATTTTAATTAAATTTAGTGTCAACAACATAAAGAACGGACCTTTAGCTAAACCTTTGATCACCAGAGCTCCGAGCTTCGAGAATTTGGAAATGAACATAATATCGTGGCAGCTACAAAAAAATAATAATAATAAAAATAAATAAATAAAAAATCTGGGGCACGAAATTAGTAATTATGAGATCAGTAACAGCCTCAAAGCAATTTGAGTTAGGAATTGTTTCCTTCAATAACACTGAATCAAACACTTAATAGAATTTACAATGACGATTGTTAGATCAAAAGGAATCAAACCCAATTGAAATTGAAACACGAAAAGCATGAAACACTAACCCAGATTCAATATAAAACCAAAACATATGCATATAAACTACGATATTATATATATATATACACACACACACACATAAACGTGGCTTTAGGTTTAGACAACAGCCCTTAAATGTGTAGAAAGTTAAGCTAAACAAAGATAGAGAAAACGAATAATAAGGAAGAAACGTACCTGTCTCTGGCGTTGCTGAGTTGCTGCAGATGAGTTTTTGAGGACTTTGGCGTCGATTCTTGGGTTTTCTACGGTTTATTTTGGAAGTTGAAAGCACGAACGAGAGATATGGAGAGAGAGTTCAATTCCTTCTTTTAGAGCTTAAAATATCACATGGCAACTCTACGACGGCGTTCTAAGGAACAGTCTCGAAGAAAATGAGGCCCATATAATCTTGGGCCTTAAAAAAAACCTGTTGGTCTGAAAAGGGAAGAAATTAAAAATAGCCGAAAAGGGCCCGGGTAGGACTCCTCTTTCAACCAGCTTTTCAAAAAAAAAAAAACACACACACACACACACACACACACACACACACACAGGGTCTCCTCCATTGTAATAACTGCTGATTTGAAAGTTGCAAGTTATGGATGTTCAAGGAGACCAGTATATATATATATTCACCCAAATTGGGCTGTTAGGCATTATTGAATCTTTCATTTTTGGTGGCCAAATTTTTATTGGTTCCCCTTTAATTGGTAATTGGCTATGGCTTGTGCAGCAAATTCCTCCTCTTTACTATTTATTTAGGTTTTTGAATGTGTCTTATCAATTTATAAGATGGTGGATTATTGAGTTAGATCTTCTTTGAAAGAAAGACGATAAAAATGAATAGGTGATTTTAACATGTTTTGATGGGTTGGCAAAAATCATGAAAATTATGCTCAACATTGAGGGTACATTGGTCTTTTTATTTTAGACATATCTAAAATGGAGATGCGGGGTATCGAACCCCGTACCTCTCGCCTGCAAAGCGAGCGCTCTACCAAGTGAGCTACATTCCAATTTCGTTGCCGTGTCGTATGTTACTTTATTCATAGTTTTATTTTTCTTTGTTTTTGTTTTGGGGGCAGGGGGTTTATGCGAGAAACCTAAATCCAACTCTGTACAGCTTATTAATGTCTGTGCGAGATCGAGAGACTCCAAACAGCTTAATTTCATTGAAAAAGGGTTCAGAATACACACCATATTTACAATAGACAAAACAAAGCAATATAATGCAGGAAATTAACAAGAAGCTAGCATTAGGTCTTCTCCAGCTATTTTCAACATTTACTTCAAACTGCTTGGCATATAAGAAAGCATTGGTCTCCTGATCTCAACAATCCAAACCACTCATCACTATCCTGCATTACATGTAACAAATTATATATAAGCAAATCTCATTCCCAACTAATATTACATACAAAACACAATCAATTTTGAGTCCATTTGGCCGCTTATAAATAAATTTAACAAAATTATCATTCTAAAATTTGCAATAGTTCTCTCAAGTCATAAATTTTAACCTACCACTAGGAAATGATTTATTTGCAATTGGCATTCTACGTAAATATGTGATTTACTTAAAACATGGCTTCGACTAGTGTTTTAGGTTAACACATTGACTTAAATATCATTTTTTTCAAATAAAACATTCAAAGGTTGAACATACTTCAATCATGGTTCGCAATATTGGTTGGTTCGTAACCTTTTTTCAAGAGTCCGATACTGTTACATGCCTCTATGAACTGACCAGTTCGATTGATTTATATCGATATTCGTTTAAATCCGTATACTGCGACCGCCACCGAAACTATAAATGCGAACCATGACTTTAGCTCACATGTTCGCCTAAGACTTCAATTTAAAGCAAATTTCCAACACTAATAATATTAGTCTCTTTTTCAAAACTTTCAAAAAAAAAAAAAAAAAAATTACTTTCCAACTTTGTTTTAATTAAGTTGGTCTGACATTGTTAATGCACATTTTAGACGAGGTTAATCAAGTGAGTCGAATCTACTACCTCTATACTCTATCCCTACTAAAATAAAATTAAATGCGTACTATTACTAACTAAAAAATTAGTTACTCATCCTGACAGTTAAATTTCTAGTAGGTAAAGATAGATGTATGGTTTGCATTGGAGATAAAATATATAAATGTATGGTTTGCATTGGAGATAAATTATGTACGTGTGTGTGTGTATGTATATATATATGATAATGGCATAATTGTCATTTTAATAATTAAAACGAAACAAATAACCAATCATAAACTGTCGGACTTCTGGGCTCAGCGCTTTCGAATTCTTCGGGTGACGACTTTGTCCTTGTCAATCTCTTGAAATACCCACGACCACGAGGAGTTGTCCCTGCACCCAAATCATGCCCCCGCAAGAACCCAAAATAAGAAGCAAACCCCAAAAAACATAAAACTCTTTTACACACACCCTCATCATCATTAAACTTTAATGCATGACAACAGATACTTACGTGAAAAAGGTGAAATGGGGGCACTTGAACCTGCCGGAGAAGACGGGACAGAGTTGGAGTCACCAGAAACGTTCCGAAATTTGGATTTGGTTGGGAGAATGATGATGCTCCGAGTTACAGAGATTTGGTCAGGCGTGATGATTGGAGGAGGAGGAGGAGGAGGAGGAGATCTGACAAGAGAGAATGAATCGTACTTGCGGAGTTTGCCGAGGCCGGTGTCGGGTGTTGGGCCCGCAAATGTTTCATCCCAGAGCTTGTGGAGAAAACCCATGTCGTTTTCTAATGTAACAACCGATCGATATGTACGTATAAATGTTGGTAAAATATATGCTTAATGTGACTTTTAAGATATAACAACCTTTATACTAATATGTCATGAGATAATTAACAATATGCTAATAAATAATTAATTAAATATGCAACTCTATATTTAATTAAATATACAAAATAAAGCAATAAAATAATAATAATATGCAAGGAATGAACCTGGACCGAGGCTAGTATTGGATACTATGTCCTTAAGACAGATTCGCCCCGCTATGGTGCTAACGGACTCAGTGGCGTCTATCTCCCAGGATACAACGGTCTACATCCACCAGTAGCAGCACTACAAACTCGTGGATACGGCGAACCTCCTCCGTGTAATACTCTCTCTGACTAAAAAATGCATCTATATACTATATAAATGCTAAATTGGGTGTAATCCGAACCAAATGGTTCGGACCAATCTTAATATAGCTCGATGAAATTGGATTAGGATCGAAGTGGCTCGAACCACTTAACCTAAGGTTTGAACCCACTTGGGTTGGGTTCTAGTCTAGAGAGGGAGATAGAAGAAAATGAAAATGAATAACTTGCAAATGATCCAAAGGGGGGTATTTATAGAAACAGAAATGCCTTTTCTGATTGGGTGCGTCTCTTCATCATTGGACACAACCATTACAATAGGTTGCAATGGTTCACATGGTGTCTATTCACCACTAGACACATCCATTCCAATAGGTTGCAATGGTTCACATGGTGTCTGTTCACCAATAGACACATCCATTCCAATAGGTTGCAATGGTTCACATGGTGTCTGTTCACCAATAGACACATCCATTCCAATAGGTTGCAATGTGTCTTTTCGAATGGGTGCAACCATGGGTCATGATGGTTCGAAAAAAGGTGTAACCTTTTGAAAAAACTAAAAAGTGGTTTTTTAATTTAAAAGGTGTAACCCTTTAGAAAAACTAAAATATGGTTTTTTTAATTTAAAAGGTGTAACCTTTTAGAAAAACTAAAAAGTAGTTTTTTTAATTCAAAAAACCAACCACCCAAAAAAACCTACTCATTTGTAAAACCCATTTAAATAAGCCCAGCCCAAAATTAGGCCCAATCTAAAATTCCAAAAAAAGAATAATCTGGACTTTACAATTAGGCCCAAGCCCAAGCCCAAATCCTAAACTCAGCTTATTTAAATTTCAATTTGTTTCAACATTTTTTCCATGTGGGACAAACACTTCCCACATTTTGCATACCTATTTAGGCTTATCAAAACACTACACTTTGGAGCTAATTTCTCATTCATCCAGAAACGGATTTCAGAAAGTAAATATACCACGTTCATCTCCTTGCGGAGAGAAACGTGCTTGTCTAGAGATCCGTAAAAAATTAGTAGCGGAATCTATTTCAAATCTCATCCAAAGTTTATGTTTTTAATGCCCCCGTTTCCAACAATCCCCCACATGAATGAAAATTTGCGTAAAATGCAAAAGATGATCATGCAGACACTAGAGAGAGTATAATCGAAAAGTTACTGCATCAGGATAGGTGGCTTTTGGCTTTGAACCTTCCCTAGTGTATTGCTATCGGATTTACTGGCTAACCAGTGAACGCGATGTCTTGAACTGTTCAGCCGTTTGTGTAAACCAAGACAATAACAAACACACAGTAGCTTTCCTCACAAAGTTGGTTCTCATTGTTGTGTTCATTTTGGCCCTGAACAAGTCCTGGTATTCAATGAGTGCTCTAGAAAACTTAGCCTTTATAGTTCTCATAGAAGCGGCCTTACTTCACACTCATATAGGCGACTTCTTATTAAGAGTATCCTACCAAACCCCACTTGAATTTTCAAGGTATAAGAGTCATTAAAAGCGTAGCTTATCCTGATCATCGCTGTAGGCAGCACTGTCTCATCATAAAAATGGGTAGAAGATTTATATCTTCGCAGTGCTTCTGGTGAGTCACTCAGAATTTCTGTTGTCCCTTTGAACCTAGATCTTGGGATCTCCAATCAGCTAGGTTGGGTTTCCATTAAGGTGACTCGTTAGCTTTCGACTTTAAACCCCATTCCCCTCGATGAACTGTACAATTGCTCTCTAGTACAACCTTCAATTTTATATGTGGCCACAAGGTTGTGTTTAGAAATATTACACTCTGTAGAGATTTCTCCAGGTGAGAGCAACTGTATACTTTATGCCCTAAAATTGCTTATTGTTAGCAATATCATTTTCTTTAGTGGCACAGGTGTAGACTTACTTTGAATTTTCCTCTAAGTGAAGTCTATTGACTTCCCTATTTGATTTATTCAAAGTTTCTAACTTTGAGTTATATTAAGAACATAGAACTACACCTTTAATATAAAAGACATATCCACTATTGGATTTGAAGTCTTTAATATCCCATATCCAGATTGCATCACTGTTACACCTCCAATTTAGTTAGATACCTCGATCTATGCAATATTGGATTTAGGGTGTATCTCAACTACCCAATTTATTGTTTTTTAGTGATCCGATCCTGGATTGAAAATGTGCAATTAAACACAGTTATTAAGTTGCCTTGCAATCTCAACCAATGATATACTTTGGTTAGTATATATATTTGAGATTTACATCTACAAAAGTTAGCTAGGCTTTTGTTATCATAACTAGTATTATCTCAATCTCACTCTATTGAGAATATACTATATTATCAGATGTTAAATCTTTCATATCAAATATACCAATCAGTATATCATTTATATTTTAAGGCATACAATGACTTACGCATCACATTTATGTCATTGTCTCGGTAGTAGCTTTAATCCATTCAAGGACTTATAAGCTTACACACTTGACTTTTCAACTGGAACAAATAACTCAGCACTTCAACTGAAAAAAGAACTCTTCTAGTTGTTCCATAATATTTTCCTCGTAGAAAATAATATGCACGTACTATTGTTATAATAATATAAATGATTTTTGGTTCTATCCTAAAGCTCTTAGGACTTGGAACCCCCTACATTTATAAGTATTTCTGTTAAGATGAGTGACTCGTAACAAATTTCATCTATGGATAATATCTCCCCACAACTTTGGGATAATCCTGAAATTTTATCTCTAATGTATTTATTATGATTTTTCAACTATGAAAGTACCATATATTAAATACTTCACCTCATCTACCTTTTCAAGGTTCCATATTCGCTTCTCAACAAGCATATATAATAGTCTCTAGTGCATATGTACTCACTTTATCTTTAGCATATTCTTATAATAATTCACCGACATTACCGTGAATTAATGCTAAAGATATTAATTACAATGGGTTCTAATTAATATTTGCTTTTACTTCTTTTATATTTGTAAATTGAGTTATTCATGTTTAGGTTCATGTTAAGTCAGTCATATTAACATGTTATAACCTTTCATGTGTCACACATCACATAACTCAATCATTTAAGCAAATAATTATCTTATTATTTAAGCTTTGGATACAATCACCACAGAGTGAGCACTCACTTCTTAGCTATCATTACTAGTCAAAAGTGAGTTCTTAACTATCATTACTAGCTTAGATTAAGTACACTCTTCTCATATTTCACTACTAGGTTATGATGAGCACCCACTTTTTAGCTATTACCGCTAGCTTGAAGTTAAGTTTGTTTAGCTATCAATTCTAGTAGTTCATAGTTTTAGTACATACTTATCTAAGTAGTCTACCTTGGTAGTAGAGTAATTTGTTTTAAAGAATATTCTTCAAAAACTACTACTTTATAAGTAGTATTATTCCCTCCTACATGAGCAGATATGATGAATAACTCAAATAGCTTATGGCTAAAATAGCTACTCATCACCCTCGTGTTTTTTACTATCAAGTTGAGAGCTAGAACCAATTAACAGATTTTCCATCTTCCTCTTAGGTTCTGTGCACCTCATTAATCATTTTAGCTTATAGCTAAGCTACCTTGTTTGCAACTCAGTAACATTTTAGCTTTTAGCTAAATTGTACATTAGAGTTAACTAGTTTGATTTAGCTTGTCTCAGTGTACTAGCTTAGTGTATCCATAACATTAAACTCTTTAGAGTTATCGAAAAATCTTTTCTTATTTAGCCCATTCACAGCTATACGTGTCTTAGACACTAGTATAGATCTTTCTCCCTTGACTATTGGAAGAATTGACATACTTAGACTAATCAATTTTTGTCTGTTGTATTAAATACACAAACCAGTCATGAACTCATACAAAATTAATAATATCACACATTAAATAAGCTATATTGTAAAATTAAATTACTACGCACACTAAGTAATTCAACCACATATCTCAATATTATAATTTCAAATAATAAACTTTTGTAAAAATAATATTGAATTTGCATAACAATATAGTTTCATATTATATCACATGATTAATTATATCACATAATTAATTTAAGAAAAAAAAATTTGTGGCTCATTCTCCAATAAACATACTAGAAAATTAGGACCAAAAGATGTAGACGTTCTAGCCTACAAGAAAATGATATGCACTGATGTTATAACCTATCAAAGGTTTTATGTAACGATCCACTCCATCACGTAGTATGATATTGTCCACTTTGGGATCAAGCCCGCACGATTTTATTATTGGATTTTATCTCAAAAAGCCTCGTACCAATTGGAGATAACACCACTACATAAAATCACTTTACCTTTCCCTTACGTAGGTGGTGTGGGACTGTGCACCTGTAACTTGCTCAATGTGATAACATGTCAGTGCCTCTTGCACCCGCCCACGGCACACCCACCCACAAGGTTGCCACATTATAGGTCTCACTTTAACTTTCTTAGGAGAAAGTACAACCTTAGTTAGACACCCCCACATTTTTAAGAATTTATAAGAAGGTCTTCGAATTTTTTATAATTCATATGGTGTCACATTTCTAAGGTTTCATCTTTGCTTCGTGGCAAATACACATAACGGTATCTTGTGCAACCAATGATAAAAGTAACGAAGTATCTTTTTTCACCTCTAGTTGATACATG